ACTTGTTAATTTGCTGGATACTGTCACTGATTTAATAAGTCAGATTATAGGATGTCAAAGACAAAATTAAATGTGTGGATTGAAAAACCTGTGAACTTTGTAAGCATCAAAACCCAAGGCAGTGGCATATTTCCATTTGTGCCTGAATCAAGTTGTTGCATTTCTCTGGCACAATTTGAGATCTCACTGATACTGGTATAAATATAATAATTCCACTCACAGTTGTAGATCTTACACCAGTATAAATTACATATCAAACCAAGCCATTCAACACATCTGCCCTCCTATGGTACCAAACTGTATTGCATGTCACAAAATATTTTGAAGACTAAATGTGAATTCTAGTCCAAATGATAGCATGTTTAATTTAGAATGAAAATTAACAGCCCACATGCACTGAAAACCTTCCCAGTAATGCTTAAAAAATGACAATGTGGAGTTTAATACCAGTAACAAAAATAGGATTGGGCACTTTTGAAGGAAAATATTGTACTTCTGTATCAACAATCTTTGCCCTCCAGTCCTCTTTTTTTTTTTTTTTAAAGTCTTTAAACCTGGTGCTTAACTCTGTCCATGAAATATTACACAATATGTTGATCATGCTGGTTTTTAATTTCAACTCAACTGAAGAAGCATTGTTAAAAAGAATGACTACATCCCAGGGGAATCAGGAAATTAAACTTTATTTATTGGGGTTTGACTTTCCCATAAGTAGACAGAGCCATATCCCATCTGATTACCATGTGAGGGGAGGCACAGCTTGAGAAACAGCACTGCCAGTGTGCCACTGGGCCATTGATTAATTAAGCAATAAGATGAGGAGGTCTGTCATTTAGGGTCATTAATGCTTGTGAAGTGTCAGGTTAGTATTACAGAGCCTGAGCCCACAGGATTTACATCTGAGCACAGGACTTGATCCTTGTGTTGGTCTGTTTGCATCTCTGACACTGCCATTTGTAGACACTGGAATATACTGGTCAATCTAAACACAATCTACATTTTTGGAGGTGGGAGAGGGAGAGCAGGTCCTAATTTTAAATTTATTTTAATTTCAAAAATAGCATGGTTTGTATTACGAAAATTGTCTCTCCATAGAGTATTGTAAAGTATCATAAAAATATATATATTCAGTAATTAGTTTCTTAAAATAATACACCAGCAGGCAACTAAGTCTCTAAAGAAGCTCTAAAAGCTCCAGAGCAAATCCACACCCAGGGAAAGGAGTGCTGGTGACAGCAGAAGTCCAGGACTCAGGACTCCTCCATCTTACAGTCATGGCTCTGCTGCCAACTGAGCCATCACCCTCAGTGCAGCAAGCCACAATTAATTCATCTGCCAAATGAGTACTACCACTTAAACACTTCACAGGGCTGCTGTAAAGAGTAATTCATTGCTCTTAGGTAGTGCTTTATGATCATCATATCACTATTTCCAGGCATCCCATGGCAAGGAATTAAAAATTAAAAAAAGAAAAAAAAAAAAGGATGTTCCCAAGATTCTTCTGATTTTCTGAACTGGTTCCGGTAACCTGGAGAAACCACCACTCCCTCCCCCCTCTGCCAGAGCTGCTGCACTTTGTAAGCAATAGTTAAACACTGGCCTTGGGAGACAGGCCAGGCTTTTCCCTGGTTCAGTGGGCTGGGCACTCACCTGGGAGCAGGAATTCCTGAGTTCTAGTCCTGGCTGCAAGATATGTCCATGGGGTCCCCTTCTTGGCTTCTGTTTGACTGACACTTACCTGTGTCAAACTACATTTTTCTTTGAACACCACATTTAAGAAATGATAATTTCTTAATGATTGAAATATTTCACTTCCAGGTGAATATACCAAAGGATAACAAACATGATCCCACAAGAAAGCAAGCTGCTAACATGCTTTCCATGACCAAATCATAAAATGGGTGCTTCACTCATTCACTCACACCCACTGTTGCTAAACATCCAAATTAAGGTCAGGTAGGATTGCTACCCCGTTGAATAGACTTCCCTTTCATTAGATATTCCAGAAAATATGTTTTAACAGCTTGTTATTTTATTACTTTGTTGGGAGAAGAAATTTAGGATGAGGTAGCTCTATACAGTCCTTTCCCACTGCAGAGTGGAATGAGCCTCTGTCCTTGCCATCTAGTGCTCACTGGATAATGCAGCAACAGCAGGGGAGTGTTAAGGAATAATAATTTAAAACAAAAAAGTTTGCAGACTGTGGTTTAAAGATAGAGATGCCCAATCCAAAGTTTCTACCTAATTTCAGAAAGTTTATTTCTTGCCAACCAGCATGGCCAGGGTACCAACCTAATCATTTCCATCAGATACAGGCCTGTACTTTTGGTTCAACATCAGCACCATCACAGTTACACCAATATTTTATTCATCTAGGGAGAAGTTCAACCAGTATGAGAACATTTAGGGAAGCTTAATATTATCCACACATGAAGTGTATCACTGTAAACAACTGAGCACCAACTCTGGGGTTAGACAGAGCTCCAACAGAAGTGCCACTGTTTAACTGTGACAGTGGGAAAGGGGAAAGGAAAGGGAAATAATCATCTCCAGTGCCACATTTGTATCATGTTCCTTCACTCTGACTAAGCTAGAGAGGACATTCTAAGGAACAGCACTTCAGCCACATGGAGTGATCCCATTATGAACACTGTGATTAGACGAGCAGCAGATGACTTGCAAGTCAAACTGCTGCATCCCCACTGAATTCCCAGCTCCACGAGCAGCAGCACTCCCCCTTCCCAAGGTTCCCCACAGGCCAGCCAGTTCCAGCTCTAAGGATCTCTTTAAGCTTCCTAAGACACCAAGTAAACGAAAGATAAAATTTACATCTTGCCTCCTGTTGTACCAAACCCCACCTGCAACGGCACAACATCAACAGTTTGTCTGTCAGGGTCAAAATGACTCTGAACAACATTTCACAGGTCCCAACATTCCACAGTGACACAGCTACAAAGGCTGACATTGAGCTCACCTGGAAGCCCCACGGTCCAAGCAACAGCAGCTCTGAGGGAGGTCGTGTCCTCTGATCTGGTTATCAGCAGCCAGGGCTGAAAAAGAAAAAAAAACAAACACTCTTTAAACAAGTGGAGATAACCAGGAGCTAAACAAGAGATAACCATGCAGGTACAAGCACAGAGCTGTATCCCAGTGCAGCAACCCTCGGAGGAAGGAACCTTTTCCTGAGATCCAACCTGACCCTGCCCGGACACAACTTCAGGACATGTTGTGGGGTTCAGCTGATGAGCAGTAACTCATTAAACCAAAGGAACTTGCACTTCACTGCCTGGTCTAACTTTTAAAATCAATTTTGCAATCAATTTTGTTTGAGTTCCCTATAACTAATATACTGAAAACGCTTTTAAATTAACCCAGAGGAGAATTCTTACGAATGCTCTACAAACAGTCCCTAAATTGATGAAGGCTCAGGAGGAAAAAAAAAAAAAGGAGGGCAAAGACACTCATTGGAAAGGATTCTAGGACGAAGCCTCCTGTTGTTTCTGTAAAGAGGGTGGGTGTTTTTAAAAATAAAATAGTGGCAAAAACATCCATCTTTACCAGCAGCACCCAGAGCATAACCCCTCCCTCTCCAGCATAGTATTTGGCTGGCTTAAACCACAATAAACCCATTCTGCTGAGCCTACCTACACCCATCTGATCCCAATTAACTCCCAGCCAGGAGCACTTTCCTGCACTTCTAGGAAACCTTTCAGGGAGTTGCCAAACCTCCTCCCCTCTCTTCCATCCCCCAAGAGGCCAAAAAAAACCCAAAAAAACCCAAGTTCAAAAATGTTTTAACTCAACAGGACTCTCTTCTCAGAGACATCATCATCCCAAGATTAAACAAATCGATGGTTTTTATCCAAAGCACACAAAGCTATGACTTTTGGAATTTATCTGGGGAATTTATCATTCCTTTCCAAAGTCAGTGTATTGTCTCTCCTTTTATTTATCCAACAAACGCTGCCAGGGCATGAGATGTGTGGGAATCACCTGTTTTGTTCAACTCAGCACAGTGTATTTCAGTTTATATGGACTTCATGATCTTTTGTTTCTCCTCTGGGATATTTATTACAATATAGTTGAAACTATATTGTTGTATTAATCCACAGTTACTTTTTTTGTTTATTTCTAAAAATCCGTATTTTAATCAAATGTGAAGGAAAAAAAAAAAGAGGGGAAAATAAGAAATCTGGAATGTTTCTATTGGTGTTTTAGGGCATAACTAACTACAGCAATTTACTTCACCACATCCAGTTGTAATGCTAAACCACAGACAAACATTACTAATGGAGCAAGAATGTGCTTCTTGCTTGTGATGGAGGTCCAAGATTGCCCTCTGGAGTTTGCCAAACAGCATGGGGCACTTCATTCACCATATGATTGGCACACACTCCAGCTCTGAATCAGTTTGGAGATGAAATTGTTGGCTAAAGCTCTGGAAATTCTGACTCTAGAGCTGTCAGGCAGGGCTGTCTTTACCCTGAGAAAAAAAAATAATTGTTTTTAACATGTTACTTGGCTTTTTATGTGGTTTTGCATTGTTCATTAATGCTTTGGATTTTAATGTATTGTGTAGCACCCCAAGAACTTTAGTAGGGGGAATTCATTAAAAAATATGAGTTTATTATTTCAACGTGTGATAATAAAAATGTTTGGGGAAATGCTCTAATCCCATCTCTTTTGATGGCACACAAAAAGGCCATCAGCCATTGCATGCTGATAACAAAAGATATATCTGTGCTCTGAAAGGCAGAAATGTCATTTCTTAACTTAGCTCATGTTCAAGGCAGCTCTTACAGTGCAGGGAATTCTAAGGGTTGAGGGTTTATTTTTCCATTTATCCTGCAAATCAAGGAAATTAGCCCATAAACTTGTGCTTAATTTTTTTTTTTTTTTAAGTCAACATTACTTTGCATAGCAACAACCTTATTTGTAGGATATTTTAAGACCCGCAGTTTGGCTTATTATTTTATTGATATTAATGGAAATGATCCAGAAGAGGAAAACACATCATTTGGAGGTCTGACTCTACAGCCTGCCACATCCTAACGTCAGTGAATATTCTAGGAGCAGAGCGACTGGGGGATTGGTTCTGAATTCACTTCCTTAGGGACATGTAACCATAAAATCCTGACCTTTTCTTAAATCCAGTCACCTCAGATCTTCATGCAGCCTTTTACTTCAGCTGGAGCCTTTTCCCCAGTTACTCCCAGGAACTGGGTTTTGTGTGTGCAAACATTGTCCACAACACTCTCTTCTTCCACTTCTACAGTGCTGTGTTATAACCCAACATGACAGTTGTTTTCAACAGCAATTTAACGTGCAGCTTCTTTTTTCTCTCCTTTCTCCAGTGGCTGGTGACCTGCCCTCACAGCCACTAAACCTTTCAGGAGGGTTCCTCTCTTCCCTGAACACACAGTTTTGGCTCCCTGCTGTGGTAAACCCTCGAGGATCCACTTCCACTGTGCTCCTGTGTCAACAGAGGTGCTGTCAGCTGCCTGAGGCACAGCCATGCCACCCATTTGCAACCTGAAGGGGCTTTTGTAGCAAGATGAGGGTCAACCAGTGTCAAATAACACAAGCACAATCCCCACCTCTGTTCTCCTAAGAGAGAGGTATTTCGAAAAGTATGTACAATCTCGATAATGCTCCTCTCCATGAAAATCTTTACAGCAATGTCAGTCTTCAGAGGAACGTAAGATTGATTCCAGTGACCTCAACTGTACTGCCACATGACCTCTGCAAAAATGTTTATTCTTTCACCATTGATTTGAGTAATGAACAGTTCAGATTTGGGAAGTCAGTGCTCCAGGGGTGTTTTTATACTTAGGATGACTTGTCTGGCTGCAGGTCTTTGTCATTCTCAGGAACAGGTTGGTCAATGCACCAGTTTTTGCTGTGGTGTTTCGGGTACCGCCTAAAAGAGGGGCCCTCAGCGTTTTCATTGTTTTCATCTGTCACAAAGGATGTCTGGTAAATGGTTAAGCCATCCTCACTGCTAGGGATGGATTCATGAGCCCACTCAAAGAAGTTAGTGGAGCTCCCTTGCTGTCTCTCTGGATCCAACTTCTTCAGGCCCATGCCCTGGGAAAAAAAATGGAGAGAAAAATTCATGCAAACATATGACTTCCAGTCACAGCTTCGCAGATGAATCTTGTAACAGTCACTACCCCACTGGGAAGTGAACGAAGCTGTTACCACAGTGATTTCAAGAACTCAGGGCTGATCTTTAGCAAGTTAAAAATAATATTGTCAGACTTGCCTGGATGAACGTTTCTGGTTGCATATATAATGGGAAATCTGCTGACCTTCCACCTCTTAGTGCTAATAAACCACTTTTACTTTGCATTTCTGTAGCATAGCATGTACTCGAGGCTATTTATCTACGCTCAGCTAAATTAATCTTCAGAGTAACCCAAAGAAATAGGTTAATAATTTTAGGTTCAGGCTGTAATAAAGAGACTGAGACAGACCATAGAATCTGAATCTTCAAAGCCATCCCTTGTGTGCCCAAATACAGAGAGACAGAGCCTGATTTCCACACTCCACAGCTTGAAGGAAATTTATCTGGAATTATGGTTGATCAGTTATCTCTAAAACTATGGGACACTGCACAAAGTGCACAGAAATGGAGGTTACTCAGTGAAACATGAATTCCAAGAAGTCTGAGAGAGCCAAAAGTCAGATAAACTTTCTCTATCACAATTCACTGCTTCCTGCTCTACTTATTATCCTGTGAACTGCACCATTTCTTTTGCTGCCTGGAATGACACCAACAATGTAAGAAAAGTGGAAGAGCATGAAACTGCAGCACACACAGAGAACCCCTGAACAATTTCAAGCCTATTCAAAGCTGTGGCTTCTCCAGCATACATTTCAACAGGTGTGTTAGAGAGACCTGGATTGGGAAAAGAACACACTCTGCAGATGTATTGTGGGTATCCTATGGGATTTTGGTTAAACTTCTGATAAAGATGAACTCTGAACTAAGTGTTTGGGGCTGTGGGTTATGAGACCCCTACAAAAATTCATTGCAAGGCCAATCACCTTCAGCAGACTAACAGGGCCTATGAGAGTCTCAGACAAGTCCCACCTCTACAATAATAAAAAATGTATTTTTCATTCTTTTCTTTTTTTATATATCTTTCTCTTCTCAAAATTTTTTGCATCTATTACCTTTTTTTGCAGGGGATAGAAAAGATACTGTATTTAATCTCTGGTAAAGTAATAGATATGAGTTTGATTTGTCTCAGTACTGGGTACTTACAAGATCAAAATACTCTGCTGCATTACATATACTGTGTTTGTTGTCATGAGAAGAAAATGGGAAATTCTTGTTCCCTGCTTTCTGAAAGAAAAGAAATTAGAGAAAAAAACCATGAATTTTCAGATAGCCTGTTTGGAGTCCACCAGTCTTAGTCCTTACATTCTGAAATTCCAGCTGCCTGTGTTCTAGCACAAAATCATATTCATATGTGAAATATTCAACTGCACATGATTTTTATAGGGATAATGTGGACCTTCTATTTTTATCTTTTATAAAATCATCAGTAGGATTTGCTAATGTTTATACACATAATTAATATAAAAGTGTGACTTTTCAAATAAGAAATGCTACATTCTGTCTGCAAGCAGCAAAATTCTGGAGATGTCAGCATTGCCCTGTTTGATTTAGTAGTAGGCCTAAAGCTAATTAAAATAAACTACAAAAGGGACCTCAAAACTGAATTAGTCTGTGATTTATGAACTGAATGTCATGGACATTGCTTGTTGCAGGGGAAGTGGAGGAGGTATTAATTGCTTAACTAATTTATAATCTCATTCTTTAACATGACGTTCATCCAGGCTCTTCAGAAGGAAAAAAGGCCAACTGCAAAAGAGCTATTTTAAAAATAACTGAACATATTTAAATTTTTTAATGTTTGTTATATATCATTGCAATGTTCCAACTATGATATTCCCCTCCAAACAAAAGAACAAGTTTTAATGTAACACAATCTAAAAGAGGAGTTTCGAGAGGAGAGGAATCTGAATCAGCTATTAAAAGAAATGTAACTGGAGGCCTGATCCAGAAGAAAAGTCCCCAAATAGAAAATCTTCCTCCATGGTCATATGTCAGGATATTTGGTCTATTAGGTAGATTTTCTTTTTTTTTTTTTTTTTTTTTTTTAATTCAGCAGATGCATTCTAATATATGTGTTTAAAAATACACACTTTCTAAGTCAGTGAAATGTAAGACTTGCTAAAATCTCCTACTGCAATTACCTGTCAATCTCAACATTTCAGGAATATTTTATATTATTTTATACTAGTTTATTACTAGTGCCTGTGTGCTGAAGGAGAACTGAAAGCCAGGATGGTAAATACTAAATATCATCTCTTGGAAGGATTCCCTGTATTAACTAATGGTTAAAAAAAATCTATATTTGAAGAATTATAGGACTATCATGAAGTAAGAAATAAGGCTTAAACAGTACTATATTTCTGAGAAAATTCATTAACCTCACAGCCAGGGAGTTCCCTCATACAAAGAGATCAGAGCCATGGAGCTAAACGTGCAGTGAGCTTCCAACTTTTATTTCAATGTCACATAAACAAACTTCCTCAGCTTGTCACTGTAACACCACATTTTAGCTTTTCGTGCCCCTTCGTGCTCTCACCACTGATCTCATTTTAATTCTTGATTTAAGGATTTCCCCTAATTCTGTTTAACAGCAAAGGGCTGGTAAAGACAGGACATGGAACACCAGGTGAACAGTTACACTGGTGTTGATAAAAGGTCCCTCCAACCTGGTTCTCCTTTTCAGACAGCGGCTAAGGCCAGATGTTCCACAGAAAGGCCAATGTAATATCAACACAGTGAACACTCACGTTACAGTCTAATCTCTTTTTCACTATCCCCAAGCTTCCCTTTTAAATATTCCTTCCAAGCCCATTTCTGCTCTTCATTACAGCAAAATCTGTGAAATGAACTCAATGTAATTGCTGTGCTTACAGAAAATGAAAATAGAAAATGTTCTCTGCACAAAGTGGGTGGGTAAAGCAAAGCTCAGTGTGGTAATGGAATAAGGACAGAAAAAGGTGCTTTTGAAACTGCAACATTTTGAATACTTGTGATTTTAAAATACTGTATTTTGTTTGATCCTGAAATTGTCCCAAATCTCCTCATTTTTAAGCAAACCTTAAAAACGTTTCGAATGGGAAGCTTCTACCTTTTTAATGATCAAAAGAATAATCCTTTGCCTGAATACACAGAATTGTTGACATTCAAGAGAAAACAGATCTTCAGATTTCAATTAAACGTTCTCACAGGGCTTTACACATGGGTTTTAGACCGAGATTGATCATAATGTATTCTGTGTCTCAAGAATAAAAAGGAAAAGTGACTGATGCTTGAAATCAGCAATAATACAGCGGGCCTTCGAGTATCCAAAATTACAAGTGAGTAACAGGGAAATATGTTTCTCCCTCAGCCCAGCCAGCAATCACTTTATCCCCCGAGGCACAAAGTCTGCCAGCCCGCTGTTACTGCTCTGCTAACGACCCCAAGCGCTGTTCTTACTTGCAACTTAGCAAGTGACAACTTGCAAAAGAGCTCTGGAAATCGACTGCATTGCCACAGGAACTCACCGGGTCCCGAGCTTTGTATTCTAGAGGCAATCTATGCTTAATGCCCTGGGCTGCTGTCGAGTCCAGGACGTGTCTTAGTGCGGCGCTTGTTGTCGTCTCAAACTCATCCTGGCACTCTCCAACATGAGCAAACTAGAAAATAATGAGTATTATGACCCATTAAACAAACAAACAAACAAACAGAAAAAAACCCCTACTAACAAAAACCTTGCCAAAAATAAATCTGATCAGAAATGTGGCCGAAGTAGGTTTTTCCCCATTGCTTTTTTATTATTTGGATTGCAGCAGCACCTAGTGGCCGCTGGAAAAATCAGGAGCCTCGCATACAACACAACACAACCCCCTCCATAGAGACAAGAACATTAGGAACTTCCAAGACAAGAATATCCAGCGACTTTCTGAAGACTACTTATGCAGCAATAACCACGCAGGAAATCCACCTGACAACCTTTCTTCTCCCGTGCTGCTCTTGCTGCTGCGCGGCCACAGGTTTGAAAGCGCAAAACTTTTGGGAACAGCTCAACCCAACATCAGCCCGACGGGATCAGAGCCTGAGGAACAGCTTGTGACACCAGGTGGGTGTCACGGTGACCTGCGATGCCAAGGTATCCCAACCCAGAGCTTCCAAAGGGGCCACAGCGTTCTCCTGAGGGTGAGAACTGAGGGGAACGCTGGCTGGAGTTCTCCGCGAGTGAAAGAAGATCAGCTAGGGCTAAAAAATGTCAACAAAGAGACCCCCTGCATTGCTGAAAAACTGGAAAAGAAATCCAGCCGGAGTTTGCTCCAGCACACTCCCACTGAATACCTAGAGCACCTCTTCCTCGTAAACATCAGGAACGGGAAAACTAGTGGCTGGCTAAAAGAGAAAGTCACCCTTAGCGCGGCGGGTTTTGAGGGTGTAAGGATAAAGAAGCCCCGCGGGGGGACACGGGGGCTCTGCCCAGCCCTCACCCAGTCGCCAGGGCGCCGATCCCGGGGATTGCTCCACCTGTCCTGGGACATGGCTCCCTGAGTCCCCCCTGGATATCCTCCCGCGTCCCTGGATCACCGCGTTTCCTAGTCCTGCTCCCAGCGGGGACACGGGCGGAGCCTCCCACTGTGACCTCAGACCCTCCGCGGTGTTCCAGCGAGATCCAGGCAAGGAAAAGCCGCGCTGCTCTCGCCCACCCGCGGCAGGGAGGGGGAAATAGAAGTCGGTAAAGGGAGTGAATGTCGTCTTAAAACGCGACAGAAATGGGGTTTTGTTTAAAGACCAATCGGTTCTGCACAAGCACTCCCAGGACGCTTTGCAACCCGAATGGCTGCAACCCAAATGGCAATACTCGAAGAAAGGAGGGTTGTTTTTGAGGAAAACCCGAAGGAAAATAGAGATGTAATTTTTAGGATGTAACTTCATGCTTTTTAAAAAATCCCTTAAACATACACACATCCTAATGGAGCAGACAACCAATATGTACAGAAAACCTGACAGCACCTTAAGGGTTTTTATTTTTGCTTTTGAGTTTGAGCAAACATGGAAACATCCGAACTATTTAGCTGTCGGCACGTTTGACCAACGTAACACAAACTAAGACTTTGCCTCCTTGGTCTTGAAAGACCGTAAAGAATATGACACTCATCCTTTCTGGCTTCAAACTGCCAGAGGGCAGGATTAGATGGGATATAGGGAAGAAATTCTTGTGAGGGTGGTGAGGCCCTGGCACAGGGTGCCCAGAGAAGCTGTGGCTGCCCCATCCCTGGAAGTGTCCAGGGCCAGGTTGGACGGGGCTTGGAGCAACCTGGGATAGTGGAAGGTGTCCCTGCACATGGCAGGGGGTGGAAGTGGCTGGGCTTTCAGGTCCCTTCCAAGCCAAACCATTCTAGGATTTTTTTTTTTTTAAACACATACACACACACATATATATATATACACACCAGTCCTCTGCCAGTACACGGCTGGGACAGCCCAGGTGAGCCGGGAGCCCTGGGGACATGCAGACCATGCTGTGAGGCACCACAGAATCCCACCATCAATTCAGCTGTAAAAGACCTCGGAGATCTTCCAGTCCAACTTATGGCCCAACACCGCCTTGTCAGCCTGACTGCCACGCCCGGGATTAAATTCCTTTAATCCTTCAGCAGTTGCAGGGATGATGGTGACTCCACCACCTCCTTGAGCAGCTCCTGACAAGGCGGTGATCGGCTCACAGGTTGGACGGGATGATCCCGAAGATCTTTCCGGACTGAACTCGTTCCGTGCCTCCCTCACCCCTCACGGAGCCGCCCCCGCCGCCCCTCACGGCGCCTCCCCCGGCCCCGCCTTCCTCGCGGCTTCTCGCGCAGTCTCGCGAGAGGCGGCTGTTCCCGGCCGGCCGCCTGGGGGGAGCGCCTCCGCTCCCTGTTCCCCATTCCCGGTTCCCCATTCCCGGTTCCATTCCCGCTCCAGCCCCGGGCGATGGACGAGCCCTGCGGCGCGGGCGCCGCTGCCCCGCTCAGGGGGGACGCCGAGGAGCCCAAGCAGGTACGGGCGGTAGAGGGGGGGGCCGTGAGGGAGCGGCGCTGAGGGGGGGTTACGAGCCGTGGTGCCAAACACATCCCCTAGTGGTGCTTGCTCTAATTTAAGTGGCGCCTTTGATCCTCTTCCCAGTCCGGAATGCCGCTGTCGGGGCCGGAGTGCGGTAGGCAGCGCGCTAATTATGATTAAGCGCTAATTGCGGGCGGTGTTTGCTGCTGTTGTGCCCGAGTGCAGCGCATTTACGTAAGGGGTGTCCTGTGGAGCCGCTTCTCCCTTAGCCTGTGTCCCTGCACAGCTCCTCACACGCGTGGGACAGCTCCGTGTTTTGCCGTGTCTGACGAGAAACGGGCAGCCGCGAGGCTTGTTTATTTGTTATTATTTGAAGCGTTTAGCTTTAGTGTCGGTGTCAGTGTACACTTGGTGTTAGTCAACGCTTTCTCAGACTTTCGTGGGAGTTACGTTTTAATTTTGGCCTTTCTGGGTGATGTCGCGTTCCGTGGGGCACCTCAGCCCCATGGCTGTGCCCAGGTGGCCCAGAAGGACAGTGGCACCTGGCCTGGATCAGCCATGGTGTGTCCAGCAGGACCAGGACAGCGATTCTTCCCCCTGTGCTGGCTCTGCTGAGGTCAAACCTCACATCATGGGGTCAGTTTTGGGCCCCGCGTGTCAAGAAGGACATGGAGGGGCTGGAGCGTGTCCAGGGAAGGGAACAGACCTGGGAAAGGGTCTGGAGCAGCTGAGGGAGCTGGGGTGGCTCAGCCTGGAGAAAAGGAGGCTCAGGGAGGACCTTCTGGCTCTGCAACTCCCTGACAGGAGGAGGGAGCTGGGGGGAGTCGGGCTCTGCTCCCAGGGAACAGGGACAGGAGGAGAGGGAACGGCCTCAGGCTGAGCCAGGGGAGGGTCAGGTTGGACATCAGGAGGAATTTGTTCCCGAAAAGGGTGGTCAGGCATTGGAAGGGGCTGCCAGGGAGATGATGGAGTCCCCATCCCTGGAGGTGTCCAAGGAAGGACTGGACGTGGCACTGGTGCTGGGGGACAAGGTGGGGATTGGGCACAAGTTGGACTCGATGACCCTGGAGGTCTTTTCCAACCTCAGTGATTCTGTGATAACTCATGAAGTGGAGCTTGTGTTTGACACAAGTGTTGGAATCAGGATGACTGAAATACTCATGAGCACATGCAGGAGAAAGAGGTAAATGAATACAGGACTGGGGTTTGGTCACTTACCATTAAAAATATCTGCTTACAGAGCAAGCCTGGTAGCTTTACTTGCCAACATTTTATAAATAAAAGGCTGGTTTCCCTTTGCAAACCAGGGGTCGGTGCTGTTCCTTGGAGGCAATGAAGTGAAGAGCAGTGCAGTGGTGAAATACTCCTCTGCCCCACCACAGGCAGCCTTTGCTCGGCTCCAGGAGAAAACGGACTTGAAGCTTCCCCCGGCCAACTGGTTACGTGAGAGTGCCAAGCTGGGGCCAGCAGGGACAACCATTCTGGGCAACAGCAAAAAAAGTAAACCCTTCTCAAGGTAATTATTTTTTTCCAGGCCTTTATGAAGAATTCTCATAGTGAACTTGGGATGTGTGTCATCTAAAGGGTGAAGTGCAGACTTGACTGTAGCAACAAGGTGTTGCTTTGTCTTAACCATTCTCCCTCTGCTTTTTCATCTTACCTTTATGCTCTAATCTTATCTCATTTGTAAGTGATTAATAATGCTGGTAATGCTGTTGATGATTATTTTGTTCAAGTGCATGTTGACACCTTGCCTGAGACAGTCAAACTGATTTTGTATTCTTCCCTGGTTGGCCCAAAATCAAAGTGCATTGGTTCAGTCAGGCAGTCTGCCTGTGGTAACAGGTGAAAATGGAACAAATGTGCTTCCCCTGGGAAGCCAAGAGCCAATTTATAGCTCTTCTGGATCTTTACAAACTGGATCTGCCAAACTAATGGCAAATGGAATTTCCTGGCTATATCAGGAGTGAACACAGGAGGTGAAATAAGGGGCAAACCCCAAAAGCAGTGTTACTTTTCAGTGTGAATGTTCTTTAAACAGTTGGATGAGCTGAGTTCAGAGTGTTTATAAACAGGAGGCTCAAATCCCCTGCTGAACAGGCAAATTCACACCAAGTCAACCAATCAGTGAAATTAAACAGTTTGTGGAAGGTCTGTGTTTAAATCTCCATAATCTCTTTTAGGAGCTGTACTTTTTTGAGCAGAATAACGCGTATTTCGAGGCTTTATGATTTTTTTCCTGTTTATTTTAGATATTATGTTTATTTGTCAAGTAGAGGCTGGCAGTCGAATCTCTCTCTAGTGTCAATATTAAAAAGCTGACAGCACAAGTATAACTTTGGACACTTGCACAGCATGTATTTTGGGGGTTATAGTAATATCTGGTTTAATTTTAAAGAATGATCTGTACATTGAAATATTTTAACTTAAGTAGCTTGTAATTTAGAGAGGCCTTTATGAGGGTGGAGGAAAATACAGGGATGTGTCTGTTACAACATGCAGGGCAGTTTTGAAAAACTTAAATAAGAGGTGAAATTAAATGACAGTTACTAAAATTAAAGTATTTCACAGGCTTAATGCCTGAGAGAGAAACTCTTTGAAAAACTGCTCTTGTTTTTAGTGTTAAAGAAACAACTCAATTTCTCTGATTTCCCATAGCTGTCTTAACAAGCACTTCAGTTTTTCCTTGAATATCAACAAAACTTCAAGTATTTTAGAATGTCTTGAAATCGGATCTAAGCACTTTCAAAGATATCTCTGAAAAACTTGTAAAGAGTATGAAAATGAAATTGTTTTGTTCATTAATTTTAAGTCTCATTACACTTGGTGATGTTTAGCTGGACTATTTTTTCTTGATGAAAAAAACCCTTTCAAAGATTTAATAAGACTAAAAACCAGGTCTCTAATGTCGTGCTGCACCTGTGTTAACTTGTAATATTTTTTTTAAATAGCTTTGGGATGGCTTATGACTTCATTGACTCAGTGGGAAATGATGTAGATGTGGTGTCTGATTCAGAGGTATGTACAGCTTTTCAAGTTCTGTCACACGAAGTCTTATATTGCATAAACTTTATTTTAAGATACTGTCAGGGCTTTCTGGCACCTTTGTGTCCTTTGAGGCAAAGGAAGGATCCCCCAGTGAAACTCAGATTGCTGAACTTCTGCCCTGCCATGTAAGGGAGTTGTGATCACTGAATAAGAGATGCAGAGAGTAAATCACATTTTCTGTGGGTTTCTACAAATAGTCTCCAGCTAAAATATGCAGTTTAGTGAATGCAGCACATCAGTCCTGCAAGGCAGTTGTCTTGTGTGTTTGAAATGAGTTTTTCTGATGTAAATTATGACTCTGAAGGTGATTTGTTTCTATTCTTATCTAGAAGAGAGAGCTGCCCTCCAACTTGCTGCTTCTCTCCTCTCATTTGTGTCAGCTGTTTGGTGGTGGAAATACCTGTAGAATTCAGATGAGGCTGTTCAGAAGAAACGTACACTCTCATTTATTGTGTTAATTGTATTCAGACTTAGAATCTCTCTCCAGT